CAAAACTACTTTTATGAAAAATTAAAATCCGTAGTCCCCAGGCGGCAGGTCCGAGAGGCAGGTCCGTCCGACTCGAAAAGACGAAAAAATATTCCGAGATGAATACTTACGTAGTGCAGGTGGGTTTGGTTGAGGACGTGGTGGTGCTGGTGCGGGGACAGGATGACGTGCCTCAGGGTGCCGCTCTCGTCGAGCACCTGCTGCAGCACGTGCGGGGGCACGCCGACGGGGCCGACGGGGCCGACGGGCAGCAGGGGTGGCGACGAGCTGGGCCCGCCGTGGGGCGCGTGCTGTGCGTGCGCCACCATGGGGACGGTCACCGGGCCTGCAGCAAATGGAAAAGAGGAGAGGAGATTAGAACCGAAACACTTTGCAAAGTAGACATCAAAAGTAGACACATGGGAAAAATATTAGCTGTAGGAGCTAAAGATAAGGGGTAACTAACTATTGAGCTCTGTAGCTATTAGGTTAGCTTTGTAGTTAACCGAGCTGACAAATTTTGCGACACGAAATTTTCGACACGCAATATGAAAACCTGCACGCAAAGACGTTTTCCTTAGAAACTCAGCGTATTACTTTGTAGCAGGAGAGGGGTGTTGGTGTTAGCGAGAAGAGCACAAAATAGGAAATAAGATAAAGTGGAAAACTCGGAGGAAAACGGAAAACTCAGAGAAGTAAACAAGAGAGAGAGAGAGAGGGGGGGGGGGGGGGGGGGGGAAAGGGAGGGGTGTCGGTACTACGGATATTGGCCTCATTGTTGGCGGCGTGCCGCGAGCGGCGTGAACAAACCCGCAGACGGACTGACGGACGGACAGACAGGCAGACAGACAGACAGACAGACAGATAGACGGGCGGACGCACTATGCTGGCGGTGTGACGGGGCAGGGCAGCGTGCGCTGCGGTGTGGCCATCCGGCCATCCGGCCCGAGCGAAGTGACATTGGCCTACGATATACGTAGCACCGCGTCCGTCGGCTGTGCAAAAGGTATTTTGAAGCCCGTAATTTTTCCGCAAAACATTAAAATCTTTCCAGAAAAAAAAATGAAAAAGAAAAACAGATTTTTTCTCCGGAAAAATTGGGAACAGAGAAAAGATTTTTTTCCAGGAAAATGAGGAGCACATTACTACTTTGGGGGAAAAGTAGTAACATTTTTACAAAAGAAAATCTTGAAAAAAATTCTCAAAATTACTTTCCTTAGAAAATTGAAAGGACGGGCAGGGTCTGAGCTGGAATCTGTACTCTGTAACAACATCTCTGAGTTGACTGACTTTCCCGGTCTGTGACACACAGCCCTGAGATGACGACAGTCGAGATGAGGCTGGAGCGGGCTGGAGTTAATCTTGTCGCACCTGTTCCAGCCCGGCGCACCGTTGTGTCCTCTCCTACGCAGCTCTGAACAGAACAGCCATAGCCAGTGATCGGCCCGACAAAAGCGTCATCGTGTATATACTGTATATTTCGGTACGGGAACCCCCTGCCGTGCCGCGGCCCCATTGGTCAGCCGCCCGGACCAATCACAGCAGCCGGTCGGTCGGCTCGTGGCGGGTCCCTGTCGGGTCCCTGTCCCCCGCCCCCCCTGTCCCCTAACCCCTTGCGGGTCCCGAGCTGTCATCGCCAGGACAGGGCGCGCCCGCCGCTCGACGACGAGCTCGACATCGAGCCGAGCCGGGGGGTGCTGCAAAAAGACTTGCGGAGCGGGGTTAGGAAAATAGCCCTTAAGAGAGAGGAGCGGAGGGAGAGAGAGGGATACAGGGAGCGAGAGGAAATAGAGAGAGGCTGTCATGCCGGGCTGCCCCCAAACCAGCAGCCCCAGCGAACGACGATACAAATAAAAAAAAATAACAATAACAAACAGTTTGGTGGGGCACGTCGCATCGCCCTGACGCCCTACCAAAGAAAAAAGAAAGAAAGAAGCAACAACACAAAAAAAAAGGAAACGGGTGATAAAGATGAAAAAGTAATAACGAAAGGATGAGGAAAATTGAGATAAAGTGTCTTTGGTTGACACAGCAGTGGCGTAGCATCTCACCGCGAGTGTGCGGGAGGGACAAGCCTGCCTCTCTCTCTCTATCTCTCTCTCCCCCTCTCCCTCTCATTATCTCTCTCTGTGTAGGGTTGTCTCCTCCACCCAGCGGCGGCCGGCTTCTGCGTGGAGTCAGTCAGGGTGCCTTGGGCCGCAGTGCTTGAATAAGCTTATCGCCGGGGCCAAATCCGATCAGGACGCCCAGTCCGCACTTGTGGCGCCCCGAGGGGGTAAAGGAGGGAGGGTGGGGGGGAGGGCTCCGACCTGCTGAATAGCAAACCAGACTGCTTTGGGCCGCGGGGCCGCGCTCCTGTGCGTTGTGGCAGGGCCGGCAGGCAGGGCACTACACAACTGCCAGGGAGCTTTGCGGGGATGGAGCAGACACTGTTCAAAACCACGCTGAAAGGCGTTCCGTTTCAATTCGTTTCCATTGCCATTTTTGGGGGCCCCCTTCACACACGCCAATAGGTCGTGTTTCTCAAAACTTGGAGTGATTTAAGTGAGATAAGGGCGAGGGGTTGTGGGAGGAAAACGGAGAGAGAGAGAGAGAGACCGGTGGGGAGAGGGGGGAGTAAGGGCGAGAGAGAGAGAACGAGAGGAGCGGGAGTCAAGGCCGAGGTAAAGAGTTGACCGCGGCGTGGGGGGCTGGCCCCCCCGCCCGTGGAGGCCCATGTCAGCCGCACTCTCCGCGCTGAGGCGGGCCGGGGGCCGGGCCAAAGCGGGGGTCGGCGACCCCGCCGGGCCTGGCTGCGCCTA